TATTTGAAACTGCCTTTCTAGGTTTTTTGTTTGTTTGTGGAGCATGTAGTAGAGTACTGGGAATCAAACCCAGGGCCTCACACTTGCTAGGCAAGCACTCTACCACTGAGCTGTACTCTCAGGCCAAGAAAACTGCCTTTGGAAAATAACAGGTGATCCTTTCCTACCTTGGGTTCTCTGACACTTTCCATGGTTAATGAAGTATATTAAAAGTATTAAGGCAAGTAGCCATTTGTGAGGATCGTGCCTGAGTGAAGTTTCTAAAAAAGTTCGTTAATACATTGTCTGAACCAGCTATGACCCTAAATACTATCACTCCTACAAGAGAATATAAAATCTACATTTCTCATTATTGCAGACCTCTATAAATAGTTTTTTCTTGTCTACAGGTGGTTGTAGTTAGACTACACAGCTGATTTTTCTACATAAAACCAAGCTAATCAGTGTCTCTCTTCTCTCTCCTCAGGAGAAGTATTGAAGGTGAACATGTGGCGCATGCTGCTGTGTGAAGCAGTAGCTGCTGTCATGGCCAAGGGGTTCGATATCCTGGGAATTAAACCTGTCCAAAGGATGTAACCCCTTTTGAATACTGTTTTTACCAAAGTGGCCATTAGCACTGTTTGCTTTTTTACAATCATGTGGATCCAAAAACTAGTAAAAACATTTTCTCAACTATCTGTGTAAAATGTGGTTCTTTAAAACTAGTATTTAAAAAAAAAAAAAAAAAGCACTTTGTTCCCTAAACCAAAATGCCAGTGGAGGCCATGGACTAATGTAGGCTTAGGAACCATAGTCCCGGAGTTTATTGGCAGGGATGTGTTTTCACTTACTTTAATCAGATACAGATCTCATTTATCAGACCTTAATATGTGCCCCAAGACCTTCATATACCTCTGTTGTAAGATGTGACAGAGCCGAGACTCCGCAGCAGTAATTACTTGCTCTGGAACAAAAACAAGATTCATACCCATGTATGTAAAACTCCCAAATTCAAACTCTTATTTTGCAATTCAATGACACTGGCAGTGTAAAAGACCTTGTTTCCGAGGGAGGAGGCAAGAAAACAGACTGGAAATTTCCTCAAGTCCTGGATTAGCTCCATTCCAAGGGAAACTAGAGAAGCATTAATGTCTACACTAAGATTGCAGTGATTTGCCTAGAGCAGTCAAGGATCGCCCCTGGGCTTAGCACATTGTCTCACTTCATACAATTGTTGCTTTAGCAAACCAGGAGGAGGTTGTTGGTGGCAGTAGCGGGGAGGGAGAGTGGGGGGAGGCCTCAGCAGTGATTTCTGAGTCAGTGAGCATTTCCATTAACTAACAATGAGAATTCATGGGAAAAAGTCAGCACAGTAGAATGACAAGTGCTTAATAAATGTTAACTGTTGCTAGGGGGCTTCAGATTCAAAATAACCTTAGAAATGAGTTAGCAAGCTACATGTGCACCAGATGGATGTGTCCACACCAGCTCACTATAACAGGTGTGGAGAGACTAAGTAGTTTCTCAGCCTACCAACTTCACACATTCTCCCTAGACCTGGAATCTACAGGCCTTACCACTAAAGAAGAGTAAAGATGACGACGGAATGCAGGAGCATATTAAAAATCAACCGATGGTCATGAGTGATTCACATTACTAGAAAGCTCAAGAGCAAATCAGTCTCTGATGTGCCTAAGGCCAAACTTTGTTGTACCACAATTTACAGAAATACAAATGTTAGATAACATCAGGAACTTTTCCTTAGGAAATAGAGATCTGGTTAGCCTGGGTTTGTTTTTTAAATAGTTACTGATAGCACCACATATAAATAAAATGAAGGTCTGAGACTCAAACTCAGTGCCTCACACATAACGGGCAAGCACTCTACCACTGAGCCACAACCCCAGCCCCTGGTTAGCAAGTTTTTAATGCTCACAGTATGTTGATTTGGAAAAGCAATTTTTTTGTTGTTGTGGGGGGTTGTCCCTGTTTTGGTTTTGTTGTTTATTGTATTTGAAATCAAGCCCAGGGCCCCACACATGCTAAGTGCTCTGCCACTAAGCCACATCTCAACCCAAAACTGAGACAGGTCTAAGTTGCCCAGGCTGCCCTCAGTAATCCAATCCTCCAGCCTCACCTTCCCTAGTAGCTGGGATTATTGGTGTGTGCCAGCAGTCCAGCAAAATCCTTAATCTCGTTCAAGTCTAAGGGCCCTTCTGTGACTCTGTGACCCTTGCCTCTTGACCTCTTGGGGGGGGGGCTTTTTTTTTATTTTAGCCATTAAAAATACTTTTTCAGGTGAACACGTTTGTATTCATTATTCCTAATAAAATTATCTGTTTCCACACACATCCTAAATTACAACATAGGCATAATTTATGTTTCATAGATAGGAGGTTTATTATTTTTTATTATTTATTTACTTTTAAACAAAGTGAATGCTGTAGCCCTTCATTAAGAGGGTACGTTACACGCATTTTCTAATACCATGTGCTCCTATCATGTCTGTCACATTTTGGTGCACCAAACAGCCGAGTAGTAAATATAAAGTTCTTGGGCGTTTTTGTTTTTTGGTACCAAGGATTGAACCCAGGGCTGCTTTACCATGGAATGCTTTTTAATTTTTGTTTCTAGACAGGGTCTTACCAAGTTGCTAAGGCTGCCCTTGAACTTGCAGTTCTCTTGCCTCAGCCCCCAAGTCACTGAAAATTAGAGTACTACTACAGCAAACACAAATAAGGAAGCGAACCAGCTTTATTGCCAATGGAAGGTTTCAGTGGTCTGGATAGACGATCAAACCAGTTGTTTCAACATTCCCTTAAACCAACGCCTAATCCAGGGCAAGGCTTTAACCCTTCGATCCCATTAAGGCTGAGGGAGATGAAGAAGTGACAGAAGACGGTTTCATGAGGTTTTATGAAAAAAGCCATCTCCATAACAGGGGAAGCAGCAAGTGCTTCCCTAGGCACTGCATCAAGTTATCCAGAAAATCTAGCTGAGGTAATTGACAGAAGTACTACCCTAAAAAAACAGATTTTAGTGTACATGAAATAGCCTTAATTTAGAAGAAATGGATTTTTATAGCTGGAGAAAAGTCAATGCCTGGCTTGAGAGGCGAGGCCAGGCCAATTCTTGTTACAAGAAGCTGGTGACTAAGAACCTAGTTTCATGTATTACTCCCCAAATCCTAGACCCTGAATGATTCGACTAAATCATCCGTCTTTGCAGTATAGATGGAACACAAAGTCTAGATGACAACATGCCAATGTGATTTGCGGAATATTTTAAGCCCACCAGTGAGACCTACTGCTCAGAAAAAATATTGCCTTCAAAATATTACTGCTTATCCAATGCACCCGATTGCCCAAGAACTCTGATGGAGACATACAACAGAAATCGCAAGAGAACTAGGATTAGAAGTGATGCCCAAGAATTTGAACTGCAGCAATCTCATGACAACTTTAATGGGAGGGAAGTTGCAAAGAAAGTAGTTTCTCGAGATAAAATCTGTACCTGATGAAAAGGCTGTGAACATCATTGAAATGATTGAGGACTGAGAATGTCATATGAACTTAGTCAATAGAGCAGCTGCAGGGGTTTAGGGGATTCACTAGGATTTTGAAGGAAGTTCTATATGGGTAAAATGCTACTAGATTACTGACGTGTGCCACTATGCCCAGTTATCAACGGCTGGGGAGGCTGAGATAGGAAGATCACGAGTTCAAAGCCAGCCTCAGTAAAAGCGAGGCGTTTAGCAACTCAGCAACTCTCTAAATACATAGTAGGGCTGGGATGTGGCTCAGGGGATGAGTGCCCCCCCCAAAAAAATGCTACTAAATATCATATGCCATAGAAATTGTTCAGGAGAGGAAGAGTCAGTGTAGCTAACATCACTGTCATATTTTAATGAAACCAAGCACCCTCCAATCTTCAGCAAGCACAACCTAATTAGGAACCAACAAAAAGATGAGCCACTAAAGCCTTGGGGTTTATACTGTGTCCTTGGTGAGCAGTGCTCGCCCGCTCTCTCTGCTTCCTAGTTGTCATCCTGAGCTGCTTTCCTCTGCCACACCTTTCCATCTTGAAGTTCTTCCTCACCCAGGGCCCAGAACAACCGAGTACACTAGCCTTGGACTGAGCCTTTAAAACCAGGCTCGGCAATAAACTTACTCCCCTTTAAGTTGTTATCAGGCATTTGGTCCCAGCAATAGAAAACTTTAAAACACTAGCAAAGGAAATCCAACAGCATATCAGAAAGATCACGCACCATTATCAAGCTGGGTTTGCCCCAGGGATATGATTAATATATAATGTATCATGTTATTTATATATAATTATATATATTCTATAATATACACAAGTCTAATAAATATAATACAGCCCATCAACAGAATAAGGGGTAAAAAAATCAAATAAATACAAAGCATTCAATAAAATCCAATATTTCTTCATGAAGAAGCATTGAATACATTAGGAATAGAAGGATTCTACCTCAATGTAACTAAGGCTACATGACAAATCCACAGTCGGCATTTTGTTGGATGGGGAAAAGGTCAAAGTATTTTCTCCAAGATCAGGCACAAGACCAAGATGGCTATTCTTGCCACTCTTGTTCAATGTAGAGCTGGTTTTTTTTTTTTTTCCTCAGCCAGAGCAAGAGGAAATAAAAGGCACAGAAATAGGGAAGAAGTTAAACTGTCTGCAGACAGGATTATATATATTGAAAAAGATTTTAACAAGGCTATTAGAACTGACAAACTCAAGTTACAGGATACAAAAATCCCATACATTAGTAGTCTTTTTATACACTAATAACAAACCTGCTGCAAAAGAAATCATGAAAGTGAGCAGAGGATGTAGCCGAGTGCTTCCACACAGTAGGCCCTGGATTCAATCTCAAGCAACACACACTCATGAAAGCAATTCTATTCACAATAGCTACCAAAACAATTCCTAGGAATAGCCAGGTGCTGTGATACACACCTATCATCCCAGCAGCTCAGGAGGCTGAGGCAGGAGGATTTCAAGTTCAAAGCCAGCCTCAGTAACAGGGAGGTGCTAAGCAACTCAGTGATTCCCCGTCTCTAAATAAAATACAAAATAGGGCTGGGGATCAAGTGGCTTAGTGATCAAGTGCTCCCGAGTCCTATCCCAGGTAAACTCCACCTCTCCCCTCCAATAAAAAATACCTAGGAATAAATTCAAGGAGGTGAGAAACTCTACAAAAGACAAAAGATGGAAGGACCTCCCACATTCATGGAGTAGAAGAATATAGTGAGAAAACCTATTCTACCCAAAGCAGGTTATGGATTCAATACAATCCTCATCAAGATAACAAAGAAAGTCTTCACAAAGCTAGAAAAATTCATATTCCAGAATCCATAGGATACACAGAGGATCCCAAATAACCAAAGCAATCTTAAGGACAAAGCTGGAAGCATCCCAATGCCTGATTTCAAATATACTCCACAGCCGTAGCAGTCAGAACAGCATAAAAAA